TGCCCTCATTCCCCATTATTGTTTATTAGGGTAGTGTAAGCCTAGTTAGGAATAACTTTCTTATTGTTTAGAGTTGGGATTGGAAGGAGGGGTTCAAGTGAGACACCCTTTCCACATGACTTTAGGGCTTAGCCGGAATAGACATAGTTAGGATATGCAATAGCATATTATTGTATCTTCTTGTATTTCACCTTTGTGATTGTTAATTTTGGATGTTTTACACTATTAAATTTTAATCCTCTTTTAGACTAAAAGGGGAATTGTAGGGAGACACTGTAGCCCTGCCTCCTAGTAGCCCCTAAAGGTGTGCCTGTGTTCTTAAGAGGCCTCGAACTCGTGAAGCTTCTCTCTCTCTGGCCATGCTAGCTTGCAGCCTCTGGGCATGCTCTGGCTTGCATTTGGGCTGGTGTTTATCTGAATAAAGAAATCTTAGCATTATGGCCTGTGGATCATCTTTGAGCACACACAATATATAAGAAACAAAAGTTCATTTAAAATCAAGTTTATTTATTGGTATATAAAACACTGTTCAATCCAACATATTTTCTAGAGTCAGGATCTCATAAGCTTAAAATTGTTGGGACAACAAATACCAACACTTCACTATGTCTTTTTTATCATTTTTTTATATTTAACTTAAAAACAATATTATTTACATACCAATCAAAGTTCCCTCTCCCTTCTATGCTCCCAATGCTCCCACCATCACCCTATCTCACCCCCATGCACTCCTCAGGGAGGGTGAGACCTCCCCTGAAGGATCATCAAAGTCTGTCACATCATTTGGGGCAGAACCCAGGCCCTCCCCTTGTATCTAGACTGAATAAGGTATCCCACTATGAAGAATGTGCTCCAAAAAGCCACTTAATGCACGAGGAATGCTGGATCAACTGACAGAGGCCCCATAAACTGTTCAAGCCCCTCAATTGACACCTACACTCAGGGGATCTGGTTTGGTTTTATGCAGATTCCCCAGCTGCCAGTCTGCAGTCCCTGAACTCAATATGTCTTTTGAAACTCTGTACTTCCCACTGGGCTACACTACCCAATGCTCAAAGAAATTCTTAGGTCTCCTAAAGAGAGACAGGTATTGTAGCATGAATAATAAAAAGCCAGAGTCAGATATCGGGGTTCAATCTGAAGGACAGAAACACAAAGCAGCCAAACACTAGAGAGTTCTTACCTCTACCAAGGCTCAGAGCAAAAAGAGGCAATCATGTCCTCAGTGTAACCGAATAGTGAATACCCTACACTCCTGTCTCCACCCAACTTATATTCCTCTCTAGTGCTGGTATTAAAGGTGTGCACAACCACTGCCCAGCTTCTATGGCTAACTAGTGTGTGTGCTGGAATTAATGGTGTGAGACACCACTGCCTGGTCTCTATGGCTGGCTAGTATGCTTAGCTTTGCACTCTGATCTTCAGGCAAGCTTTATTTGTTAGATCATGAACAAAATATCACTACAAGGTAGGTAGGTGGGAGTCATAAGAATCTTATATCTTGGACTCTTTAGGGACTGTGGAATCATGTGGGATTTTCTTAATCTGAGGAATGAAATATATGAGAATTTACAACCCTTTTAAGCATCCATGTGATCTTCAATAGACATTGGAAGTGGATCAAAAAACACTCTTGTAAGAATAATACTAGCACTATTATTATATGGTAAAATAGAAATCAAATAGCTGTTCTATGAATTAGAAATCATGATTCACAGTGAGCTCTTTTTTTTTTTTTTGGTTTTTTTTTTTTTTCGAGACAGGGTTTCTCTGTGTAGCTTTGGAGCCTGTCCTGGAACTAGCTCTTGTAGACCAGGCTGGTCTCGAACTCACACAGATCTGCCTGCCTCTGCCTCCCGAGTGTTGGGATTAAAGGCGTGTGCCACCAACGCCCGGCTCACGATGAGCGCACATTAAGTGCATTGCTGTGCATCTACAATGACAAATTCAATAAATGATACCACAATCCTCATGCAGAAGAAAGTTTATTTGAGTGGGTTTTCTCCTCCATGGAAGAAGATTTAGAATACTGGAACTTTAACAAATTTGATTAACATCTTTCTATAATCTTTCTTATTAAAATTAGAAATAATCTTATTTTGCATATCAATCCCAGTTCCCTCTCCCTCCCTTCCTCCAATACTCCCCACCAACCCTCCATGCCACCCCCTCATCCACTCCCCAGGGAGGGTGAGGCCATCCATGAGGGATCATCAAAAATAAATCATTTGGGGCAGGGCCTAGGCCCTCCCCTGGGGGGAGGGGGA